CCCATATATTTGTCTAAGTCTCCAATTGACGAGACTCCGATCATGGCCACTAGCACAATAACCTCCTGAGGGTAGACGTTTGCACTAAAACATACAGAAGATTTGTGCAAATTAGCGTGCTAGCCGCTTGCTCCCTCATATGTATGAAGGAGATGGGAAAGTTGGCTGCATTCAGTCAATGAGGCCTGGAGGAAAAGGTAGGTATCATATGCAAAAAAAAAAAAAAAACCAACGGGAAGTCGTCGGCGCTAGTCTGTAAGTCTTCCGTCTCAGGGCCTCAAAAAATGGCCCTAAGAAGTCCATTCCCCATTGAGCAAGTGGCAATTGACTGATATTTCCTTGCATGGGCTCAGGTAGTGCATGTGGTACTTGGGCAACAACTTGGCACTTGATACAAGATTTGACTATTCATGCGTATCTCGGTGCATAGTTGGCCAGTAGTATCCCTGTATGAGGATGATTTTCTCAAAACTTCGCAGGCCAACGTGCATCCCGTGTGATCCGTCGTGAGTTTCACGGATGGCAAAGTTGGCTTCTCCTTTGCTAAGGCATCGAAGGTATGGACCAACAGAACTTTTTTTTTTTTTTTGTAGAGTGTGGCCTCTATGAGGAGGTAGTGAAGAGCACGTCTTTTAAGTTTCATGGCTTGTTTTGGGTTAGTGGGTAGAAGGTCATGTTGAAGATACTCCAAGAGTGGTGTGTGTCAATCTTGTAGTGTTGATGTTGAGATGATAGGAGCGCATAACAGTGCAGGGCAACGCTCAACTATCACATTTCTATCATCAAGATAGTATCGAGCTGTGGCAAGCTTCGAGAGAGCATCCACACGGAGAGTTTCTTCTCGTGGTACATGTTTTTATCTCAACATGTGTAAACTCAGTCATAATGGCTCGAGCAACATTGACGTAGGAAATTAGCGCGGGTTCACGAGCTTCATACGCCCCCAGAAATTTATTGACAACAAGGGCAGAGTCTGAGTGTACAAAGATTCTTTGAATTCCTAATTCTTGCGCCATTGTTAAGCCAACTAGAAGAGCTTCATATTCTGCGGCTTTATTGGTTCTTGGAGTTGTGAAGCGAACAACCAGCTCATGGGAAACATTCATTGGACTGATGAGAATCACTCTTGCTCCAGAGGCGGCCTTGCTTAAAGCTCCATCCACAAATAGCCTCCACGTTTCTGACTCAGATGGTGTGGTAGCACGAATTTCTTCGGCCACAAAGTCAGTGAGGACCTGTGAATTGATGGCTGTACCAGGGACGCATGTGATATCATACTCACTTAATTCCATGGACCAATTGATCATTCGACCCGCAATGTCCATGCGCTAGAGCAGCTTTCGGAGTGGCAACTGTGTGAAAACACAGATAGAGTGACTTTGGAAGTATGGACGCAGCTTTTTAGAGGCAACCAAAATAGCCTTTTCTACTGGTGAATACCTGGTCTTTGCATCTAGAGTTTTACAAGTATAATATATCGGATGTTCGGTATTGTCAGCATCTCAACGAAGAAGTAACGAGCTTACCGCCCTCAGCGACATGGCGAAATACATGAAAAGAGTTGCATTATTCACCGGGGCAGAAAGAACTGAAGGTGTGACCAGAAATTCCTTGAGCTTAGTAAAAGCTTTTTCGCACTCAGGTGTCCACTTAAAGTGTTTCCCAACATCCTTCAAAGTGGTAAAGAATGGGGCAAAATGATCTCTAGCACGAGAGATAAACCGATTGAGTGCGGCAATGCGACCTGTGAGAATATGTACTTCGTTGCCTCTTGTTGGGAAGGAAATTTGAAGGATGGCATCAATTTGTCGAGGGTTGGCCTCAATCCCTCGCTGGGTTACCATAAACCCTAAGAACTGAGGATTGTCTTTCTAATGTGGCAGATTTGGAAGACAAGAAATGAAAAGGTCTCCAGGGAGACTCAACTGTGGCTCCCATTAACCTGTACCAATGCTACCAACGACTTCAACCAATGGATTTCGTGCCCTAAACCCATCAGGAACCAACCGCTGCTCCCCCACCAGTCTAGGGTGCCCCAAAACCAAAATTCACCACCACCGAGTAATCCCAATTTCGAGGTTCACTATGATGGTTCATTCATAAATTGCTCCCAAAAGGCGACTTATGGAGTTATCTGCATCAACAACCATGGTGAAGTTTGTGAAGGGAAGACTGGTACTCTACTTTATTCATCTCCGCTGGCAGCGGAAGAAAAGGCTTTGCTTGAAGCGATCCTGCTTTCCCAATCTCGGGCTGCCCCTTTGTCTCGTTGGAACGGACTGCCTCAACCTGGTCCTAGCGATTGCTGTCCATCGCTTCTCTTGGCTTTGGAGGGTTTCGGCCTGACTGGGGATCATGTGTGACATCCTTCGACGTTGTAGCTTTGTTAGAGTGGTTTTCTTCGGACGCAAGTTTAACTCTAGGGCTGACTGGTGGCTAGGTCTTTGGTTCGCAATAAGCTACCTTAGGATTGGGTTACCATATTGAACTTGATCTCCCCTCTATTGTAATACTTTCCCTTGTGTAACCGCTTCCCTTGGAATAAAACAAAGTTTATAGTAAAAAAAAGTCATCTAATGTTCTTAGTCGACCACTTCAATGAATGTGATGTTGTGTTGATGGTATGCTTGGAGAGGAGATGTGGTGGAAGGAGAAGCCATGGATGGACTTCATGATGAAGATGGAAATTAGTTCTAAGCTAGATAAGCTATTTTAGAGGATTGCCATATGTTCATCAATATTCACTACAAGAAGTTGTTCAATTGTGATTAGAGAATCATATGCTACTTTCCTCCATATTACATTTGATTTTAGCTAAAAGGTCGAGAAAGGTATTACCTTCCTCTATATTGAGTATTCATAGAGGATTTTATATATTCATGAAGTGTGACATGATCAAGGATGTTTGTCAAAACACACAATCCGATAATTGGATATAATAAAAAGTACTATGACGAAATTAGAGCACGAATGTTCAAATAAAAGACTATACTGTAATTAACTGAAGAACGTCAGAATGCTTGTCGAAAACGACTAAGATAAGTCAATTTGCATAAAAAGATCGAAAGATTCTTAAATTCTCAACTAATTTTGAGTTATTATGCATTTGCTGTTTTAAAAGCTTTTCGTACTCCAACTCAAAGAAGGTGAACATCCCATCAGTGTCAAATTCAAAGGCAAACAATTTCTGTTCTCTCCTTTTCCTCTCTGTTTCATTTGTCAGGAACTGAATGCTGGTTGGACAAAGGAATTGGACGATTCCATTTACTGAGAATTTCAGAACCCTTTCACCACTACATCCAATATTTTTAGGTGCGGGGTTTCAATGTTTCATTCAAGAGTCAAGAAAGACTCTCCTCCCACAAGCACAGTTTCTACTGTTCCATCAATGTTTGGCGAAGTGAAACAGGGTCCCCTGCCCCTCGCTACCACCCTGATATTCAATTTCCCCTCATGATTAGCGTGGAAGAAGAAGAAGAAGTTAAATTGGGTCTCATTACATTCGACACTTAACATCTCCAGCAGCAGGAATCTGTGCCTGCAGTCGGTCTGAGCTTTTTGGACATGACTAGCATTTACGGCTTCACCAGTTTTGGTACTGTTCTTCCTTCTTTTTCAAATGGCGAGGCCTTTTGAAATTACACTACTGAAATATTTGGCGCAGGTATTGGCACTACAGTACTGTTTGAAAGAAAGTTGATGAACCGGTCATTACTTCAGTAGCAGTTGTATTGGAATTCATAAACTGTGGTCATAACTTCGAATCACTCCGAAAATAGTCTTTGTTCTCTGATATTATATAAAAAAACCACTTATTTACTAACATTACCCAAAATCAGATACGAAATTAAACACAACTAACTTTCACCCCGTGACAGGGTGTTTCGTGGCTTTTCAGGGGTAACCCCGATCCACTTTGGTAATTTGAGAAAGACAGTCACGGATAAGTTGAAGAAGATTCATAGATCATCACAGAATCTTACAGAATCAGATCAGAAGAGGTAAGTATAATGAATCCAGCAAAAAACAGTACTAAGAGACTTTTTATTTTTACTAGCAAAAAGCTGCTCGCTATCGCTTCACGTATTAAAAAAAATAAATATTTTAAAGAGTAATAGTTTTAATGTTGACCAAAAGTGAAAGTAATCATATTTCATTCTTAATCATTCTTTTCATAGGTTTGTTATTTAAAATAGCATATGGTCGATGAACTTGCATAAGGTAAAAGGGTCGTCGAATAGATTATTTATGTTTAAACTTCTTTCATGACGCTTCAATTTGTATGACTAGTAATTGATCCTGCTGTAACTTTTGGAGAACGAAGCTGCTTCTCTGGATCTTTTCAAGAAGTATTTAAAAAAGGGTTAAAGACACATTTGATCACTGAGATTACAAAATCGGGACATGTTTAGTCACTAGAAAAAATTAATATCAAATTTGGTCACTACAATTACTAAAACTGGACACATTTAGTCACTCGCCGTTAGTCTCCGTCCAACTCCGTTAATGAAGTCCATTAAGTGATGATGTGGCAAACAGAATTGCCTAATCAGCCGGATATAACCCAACAAAAATAAAACCCGACCCGCCACGTCATTATAACCCGCCACGTCATTTAAACCAACCCAACCCAACCCATGACCCAACCCCACCCAACCCTTCTTCCTCCTTCCTCTCACCTCCTTCTTTCCCCAAATTCGAATTCAATCCAGACATCAAAACGAATTCAATCCACACATAAGGGAAATCGAATCGACAGAGAATAAAGTAAAAAAAAACCTTGTTGCCGTCGTCGAAGGGGACGGGCCTGGAGAGGAGAGCGTAGATGTCCTTCTTCTTCGACAAGTCCCTGTGGCGGTCGGGAGGCAGCAAATCGAGCAGATCCAGGTAGTTCCTCGGTAGCTTCTTCTCCCAAACGGAGTCCGACGATGCCAGCACCCTATCTTTTCCCCTCTATACACAAACCCAATCACCAAACAAACGAAAAAACGTTTTCCCTGATGCTGAGTCCATTGATTTGCGGAGCAAGCTTCCAGACCGACGAAGACGACCTCCCTTGCGGCGCCGCTTCGTCATCTCCGTCGCCGAGGAAGTCATGGGGCAGGCAGCGGGGCGGCAGGAACAACAGCAACAACAACCTGTACGCCGGCCGCGGCCTCGACAAATTCTCGCAGCTCCTCTCCGATCTGGCCGAGAAGCGGCGGGAGATCTACTCCACCATGAGCTCCCAGGATCCGCCTCTCGTCCGATTCGTCTTCCCCAGCGCCACCAGCGACGCCGTCCCCGTCGTCATCAAGATTCGAGATCCGAAACCCTCGAAATCGGCAGAGCTCAAGGATCATCCTCATCACAATCACAACCATAGGAATTTGAAGCACAGCAATTCAACAGCTTCCGCGGCCGCGGCGGAGCAAGCAGTGACTAATTCAACTCCCGATCAGCAGCACAAGTTGCCGACGGTAGGGGAAATAGTCGAGGAATCGGTTGATTTTTGCGCTGCGGTGACAGGGAGCGGCGGCGACGCGAGGAGATTGATTTCGATCTTCCGCCGATCGTGGCGGCGGCCGTCTGTTTATGTCCCCGTGGCGGTGATTCTGATTCTGCTGTTTCTGGCGGTTTTCGGGAGGCAGCAAATCGAGCAGATCCAGGTAGTTCCTCGGTAGCTTCTTCTCCCAAACGGAGTCCGACGACGCCGCGCCCTATCTTTTCCCCTCTATACACAAACCCAATCACCAAACAAACGAAAAAACGTTTTCCCTGATGCTGAGCTCGACACTTTCTACGAGCGTATCATCGATGAACACCTTAAGCCTGGAAGGGAAGGAGCTGAAGAAGACATGATCAATGTGCTGCTGGCAATCGAGAAGGAACAATATCAATTACTCGGTGGGAGGAAGGAGGAAGAAGGGTTGGGTGGGGTTGGGTTGGGTCATGGGTTGGGTTGGTTTAAATGACGTGGCGGGTTATAATGACGTGGCGGGTCAGGTTTTATTTTTGTTGGGTTATATCCGGCTGATTAGGCAATTCTGTTTGCCACATCATCACTTAACGGACTTCATTAACGGAGTTGGACGGAGACTAACGGCGAGTGACTAAATGTGTCCAGTTTTAGTAATTTTAGTGACTAAATTTGATATTAATTTTTTCTAGTGACTAAACATGTCCCGATTTTGTAATCTCAGTGACCAAATGTGTCTTTAACCCATTTAAAAAAACATGCTGAGTGTTTTGCTGAAAAATTAACAGAATTACTTTCTAATATAAGAGGTAATGAAAAATGATAAAAAAATATTTCTAACATAAAATATGAATACAAATTCTAAAAATATAAAATTATTTAAAATGAATCACGTTAGATTTATTTCATATTAAATAATATTATTTTTCTATTTTTTTTATAATGATGTAAATGAAATAAAATTATGTTTTCTAGAAAAAGAATAATATATAGTAAGTATAATTTGTATTTTTAAAATTGGAGCTTTTGCTTTTAAGTTACGAAAAACATCAATTTTTTAAAAAGCGAAACTTTAGAGGTGTTTGGCTTGGCTTCAAATTTTGAAATATAAAACTTCTAAAACTCGGGTCAAACATAGTCGTACTCTTTTGGCTTTTTTATTTTGTTTGAGGTAATCGTGGTTCTCCTTATGAAATTTTTGGACTGATTGCAGGTTTGAGAAGTTAAACTCACATTGATCTGATTGGATACCCATGGCTTTCGGTTCAATTGTCTTTCTCAAATAAAAGGAAAAAGCGAAATGAAAAACACTAAAACTAAAACTCGCTACCGACTCAAAACTCGTCAACACTAAGTTCAACTCTCTTTGACCTGATTGGATCCAGTTTTGGACAAATTCACACCTGACACAACACACCAATTAAAAAACAGATAAAACTTGCTCCCGCCGAAAAACTGTAAAATCGGGTTCAAGTCGCTTTGGTCGGGTCGAATTAGGTTGTATACCCATGCGTTTGGACTCAATTGTCATTCTCAACCAAAAGGAAAAGGATAAAAAAAATACTAAAGCGGATAAAACTCACTCATGACCCCAAACTCTCAACACTGCGTTCAACTCGCTTTCACCGGGTCGGCCAAGTTTTAACAAATTCACTATTTACCCAACCTGTTAATTACAAAAGCAGATAAAACTCGCTCTCGATACGAAACACGTCAACAAAACTCATGGTAACGGCCTTGGGAAACGCTAGTGGGGAAAAACTTAATTAGGATTCCGCCGACAATATTTTTAGATGGGCTGCAAGTTGGTGGGCAAAGGCGATAATTTGTGTTCAAGTTAGGATACCCATGTGTTTGGGTTCAAATTGTGATTATGCTCAACAAAAAGGAAAAAAAGATAGAAAAAAACATTAAAGAAGACAAAACTCTGTCCAGATACAAAACTCGTGGTAGCGGTCTTGGGAAACGTTGGTGGGGAACACCTTATGATTCCGCCGACAATATTTCGAGATGGGCTCCAAAATGATGGGTAAATGCGATGATTTATGTTCAAGGTAGGATATCCATGTGTTTGGGTTACTCAACAAAAAAGAAGAAAATAAAAAAAAACACTAAAGAGGATGAAACTCGGTCTAAATACAAAACACGTGGTAGCGGTCTTGGGAAACGTTGGTGGGGAACAACTTAGGATTCCGCAGACAACATTTCGAGATGAGTTGCAAAATGATGGGCAAAGGCGATGATTTATGTTCTAGGTAGGATAAAAGGAAGAAAAGAAAGAAAAAATATTAAAGAGGATGAAACTCAGTCCCGATAAGAAACTCGTGGTAACGGCCTTGGAAAACAGTGGTGGGGAACAACTTAGAATCCCGCTGACAGTATTTCGATATGGGCTGCTAAATGTTGGGCAAATGATGATTTGTGCAAAAAATCATAGACGAAAACCTAGCGAACAATAACTAAACACAAAGGCGATGATAAAACCAAGGCGATGATTTGTGCAAAAGTCATAGACGAAAACCAAGCGAACAATAACAAAACACAAAGGCGAGATTTGTGCAAAAAGCCATAGCCGAGAACCTACCGAACAATAACTAAACACAAAGGTTCTAGAATAGAGAGTGGGGTAAAAGAAGGACTTGGAATTTCACCACTTGAAGGAGTGTGAGAGCCACTAATGAATAGTAACTCACATGTTAGGCTTTTATATATTAATAAAATTAATTGTAAGAGTAGTTATTACTTCATCTATGTAACATATGGGAAACAAAATAAATGGGTCGTTTGGATGAGGAATTCTAACGGATTAATTTGATCTAGTTATTTAGTTTTGAGACAATTTGATCAAATTGATTCGTTTGGCGACATAGAGTTTAGATTAAGCAATTCTGCCTAGGGAATTTCAAATTGACTCGTTTTGAGGCCATTATGATTATTGGGGGTGTGGGCAGACAATTCGAATTGACTCGTTTTGTAAAATGAGACAATTAGCTAAATTGTCTAAATTTTCAATTGATCCATCTAAACGAACCCAAGGAATTCAACAAGAAAAACATCAAGATCTTTTTGTTGTATTGCAGGCCTAGAAGTCACAGACAGAGGTGGCAAAGTCACGATCGCGACCATGACTCTTATGTCCAGACCGTGACTTTCGTTTTAAGGTTCTAGACATAAGTCATAGTCAAAAGTTGAAAAGTCATTGTTGGTGTCTTTCTACGTTACTAGGACAAGTAAGGAAGTGGTTAATTACCATACATTGATCTCTCCCAACAACTCGAATTTTTTGGATCATCCAGTTTATGACATGATATCAGAGCTTGTTTGTCCTTGAGGTCACATGTTCAAGTCTTCACGACTTCGAATATTAATTGTTTTACTTAAACCACATGGTATGGTGGACTTGTGCAAACTTCGAACCATTGAGTTGACTTTCGTTTGAGAGGGCGTGTACGAAAGTGGTTAAATACCATACATGAACCTCTCAAAAACTCGAGTTATTGAGACCAGTTGGTTTATGACATGTTTTTTTCAAACTCCATTTCAATTCATTTTGGATGAATGCTATGATATTATAATCATGGCCAATGACGCTTTGGGTGGATTTGGATTTATGACCCACACTCACCCATCCATATACCTGCGGTGGTTGGTTGAGTGATTGCAGATAATGGGTGGTTGGGTGAGTTTGATGGGTTGACAGCATACAATCTAAAATGTCACATAATTCATATTGCGGCGGTTGCTGGCATATAGGTAGTCGATGCTAATTCCACAGATACCGTCATTGCTTCTTCTTCGGGAAAAGAAGTTCACGTATAAACGTAAGGTGAAAGAAAATCTTCAAACTAAATAACGTTTAATCCATAAATTAAATGTATCATTTAGCTTACAATATTACTATTGGTAATTGTTCACAAATAAAAAAAATATTCAATTGATAAATATGGTCTACGTCTAATCATAACAAAATAAAAGAAACAAATATGACATAAATCTAGCAAAGTATTCAGATCTTAAGCCACAATTACCTATCGAACATTCCTGAAATGAACAATAGAATAAGCCAAATTAGTATTCAAATTAGGCATAATTGCAAGTTTGGTCACTCAAATTGCTACAATTTTTCACGTTTGGCACTTAAATTAATTTATTCCATTTATAGTCACTTAAATTATTTGAACAGTCCAAATTCGGTCACTCTCCGTTAACCTCCGTCAGACTCCGTAAGTGCCGTCAGTTAACTACTGACATGGCTAACAGAGACACTGAGTTGGCCAATTTTAAGCAAAAAAAAAAACCGCCACATCAGATAAGCAAACCTAGGTCAACCCACACTCAACCCCTGACTAGACCCATGTTCTTGACACCTTTCTCTGCCGAGACTCGGCTCCCCGCTCCAAACCCTCCTCGTCACCGGCGCCGCTTCTCTGAGATCGAACTACCCCCAATCTCTAACAACCTCTGAAGATCCCAATCGCCACTATCTGGTTTGAGTTCAGGGTTCATGAGAAGCATCTGAACATCGAGACCCTTATTCAGCAACATGTTCTTCATTTCTTCCGACGAGAAACCGGAGTTTCCAACAGAGCTAAAAAATCTGGGTTTGCAAAGGGACAACCCAGAAATTTCATCCCAAGCTCGCCCACGCAGGAACCTTTCCTCCTTCCTCATTAAGCATTGCAGTCTACCACAAATCCGCCAAACTTCAATAACATCACAATAACTAGATCTAACTATCTACACCAGAATTCAATAGTCAATCTCTGCGACTCAAAAGCCTAATCCTCAACCAATCTACCAACAAAAACATCAGACAAGCGAGTAAGAAATTTGCGAATTGACAAAGAACAAGAAGGAAACCAGAAACTGACTGGTGAGATGGTGGCGTGGGTTCTGGAGAGCCTCGACAAGGAAGGAATCCACCAGGTACTCCTTGTTGTCGCCGATTTGAACGCATCCAGCCCGAGCCTGAGCCTGGACGGTGACTGCGGCAGCGACGTAGGTAGCGGTAGCATCCATAGCTCGTATGACTAGCGGGGGTGAGAGATTTCTCCCAACTCCCCTCTTCTTCTGGTTCGATAGGTACGTTTTGCCTCCTTTCTCGCATTTGTCTAGAGGAATAGGGGAATAGAGAAGGGAAGGGAGATGAGGAATTGCTAAGAAGCAGCGAAATTCTTCTTCTCCATGGTTGCTGCAGCGGCGGCGGTTTCCCAAATTTAGAAGAGAGGTGGTGGTGGTGGAGATGGATAACATTAGGATTGGGAGATGGAGGGGAGGCCGAAATCCAGTGGAGTCGGCGGAGGCAGGGGAGTCGCCATTGCCGAAACTCGGTGGAGCCAGCGGGACAGGGGATCTCGGTGATGTTTTGGGCTCTGGATTTTTGAAGGGAGGAGGATGAGGAACAAGAGGATAGGAGTGGGGGAGATCGGCGGAGGATCGGAGAAGAGGAGGCGGTGATGGAGGATCAAAGAAGAGAAGGAATTTGGGTCGGGTCAGTTTTGGGTTTGGTTACAAGTTGGTTTTTGTGACGTGGCAATTTTTTATGATGTGGAGGGTCGACTTTTTAATTATTTTGGGTTAAAAGTGGGTGACTAGACATTTTCGTCAGCCATGTCAGCATTTAACTGACGGTGTTAACGGAGACTGACGGAGACTAACGACCAGTGACTAAACTTGAACTACGAAATTAATTTAAGTGACTATGAATGGAATAAATTAATTTGAGTGGCAAACGTGAAATTTTGTAGCAATTCAAATGACCAAACTTGCAATTAAGCCATTCAAATTATAAAAGCTAACCGTTTATCGTTGAAGGAAGTGAATATGTGATACAGATTTTTAGCCACAAAAAAAATCGTTTTTGCAATTATCCTCAACAACCATAACTTTGAGAAGATATTCATTCAAATTTGAGAAGAAATGGCAACTAGAGATTTGTGAAGATGATCTTATCGAAATTGGGAGATTTTTTTGGGTGATATTTAGGGTTTTCAGTTTAGGTATAGAGTTCCAATGGTTTGATATTAAAAAATTGGGTGGATTGTTAGTCAACCACAATCCACCCATACCCACCCAAGTTATAGTGGGCCATCTATTTTACAATCTCCATCAAGGTTGTCAACCAGCGGGTTGACCCGGACCCTGTCGAGCTAGTGGGTAAGGGTTAATGGGTCAACCATTTTAGCCAGGTTTGGCCCGAAAATATAGAAAGAGTCATTATATTGTACTTATCCTTATAAATTATATCAAATCTTATCTAACATATGAGTTACAACATATAATATTACACCAAAATAACATATCGTACTTAGATCCAACATATAGTGAAAATTCACACACTTCTATAACATAAATATTCAAATGTTCAACTTGGTATTCAAAAGATTGAGTTAGGCGAAAAGAAAAATTGAAAAATAGGCGTATTTCGCAAACTAAAGAAAAAAATGACACAATTTGACATCCAACCCGGTATCTTATAGCGGTCGGCCAGGCGGGTGCGTGCGACCCGTTTTTCTCACCGAGTCAAGATCAAATTGGGTCGACCCGTGGGTCGACCCGTCGGGTTGAGAACCTTGATCTCCACCAATACATAGAAACAATCCACAAAATAATGTCTTCAATTACAGGTCAATATATAGGTTCAACCACTCAATAATCACCTCTAATCGTCAACTGCAATAATGAACATGAACGAACATTCAAACAAACCGCCTTTCAAGAAATTTGAAAACAGTGCACACGTAATTTCAAGACGAGCTCTTCCACCGTGATCCATCCCATCCGTAGGAACCAACAAAGTGGCGGGTGGCCTGGTGAGTCGATCCAAAACACCACCGCAGCGCAGATATGGACGCCCGGCTGCACGGTCTCGTTTGGTGAATTCACCTATCCATCTACCGACTCTACTCTATTCTACTCTGTGTGCTGCATACAGTTTCCACGTCACATTCTGCAGTCAGTGGAGCCTGAAAAAACCCCTGTGAGACGATTTTGTCATCTTTTATTTCAGGCATTACCAGTTACCAACTTACCACTACCACCATTCGGTTATTCCATTCCACCTCCATTTCAAGCATTACACCTCACACAGTCTCCACAGTTGGGGCCAGTGAGCGATATATTCCCTCCCTGGCCTGGCCTGGCCTAGCCACCATGTGAGCACAGCTCAATAATGGAGTCAGCAGTCGGTCTATGAACTGACTCTCATAAGATATACGTGACCACTGACCATACCAGACTGTGACTGGCTAGAATCTAAAAAGAAAAAGGACCCAGCCAGATAATAGCTAAGGGCTAAGGTAAAGCTTTTTTCTTTTTCCGGAAGAAGAAGGCAAAAGCATTTCAGAAACTGTGCCTGTGGAGTGGTGTGTTGTCAATCAAAGTATGATAAAAGGTAGGGAAAGGAAGAGTAGGAGTAAAGTACCGTTTTTTTTCTTCTTCCATTCATTCATTCAAATGAAAATGATTGTAGGAGCTCGGAAAGGCCGGGGAATTCCCAGATCTTGCCAATCTCTCGTCTTCTCAATGGTCCCATCTGAATTGGCACCTGGTGAATCCTGTCGGGGTCAGTTGGTAAAACAGAGGGAGGGAGGAATCTGCGTGGAGTATGTAATTCAAACAAATAGTAAGTACTGTGATGAGTATTGCCAAGAAACAATATGCCATAGTTTGGCCAAACTAGTACACATTTCATGTTGAACATCATGGGTTTTCTGACTAATGATATAGGAAACTACATGCCAAGAATATACTTGTAAAAGAATCCCGAGTCTGAATGAGTGAAATGGGGAACTGAATGAGTTCCGGGATCTTACAATTTACAAAGAGCACCCAACCCTTTAACACTTTGGTGAACCGATCGGCTAACCTGCACACTATCATGTCAATCGGTGACGACCTTGATGAGATCCTTTCCCGGTCACAGCTTTGTAAAGCTGCAAAGCAGCAATTTGGTCGATTTAGGAAGAAAAGGAATGGGCATATGAGGAGAGATTTAAGGTGTGCGGGACTCTTCTAATTCCTGCCATCTACATCAAAGCCAGCCCCAGTCCAGCCAGGTTGTCTTTTGGGCACAGCACCAAGGACACCCCTTCCTTTTCCATGGACTTGAGCCTTCTTCTTAACTCCTCCTGAAGCAGGTTGCTGTTGATTTGGGCCGTTTGGGACTTGGCTGTTACGTTCTTGGTTAGCTGCATTTCCAGTGTCCTCACTACTATCTGGTGGTGGTGGTGTTGGAGGAACTGAGGAAGCACCTGTTACCGGGTTGTTCTGCATTGGTCCCACTGGTTGTCCGGTCTGCACAAATAAATTGCAAATCTAAAACCATAACGGATCCTATTCATACGCCTTATAAGATGCCTTATTTGTGGACTTCTTCACCTTAACTAGAGGGGTGCAGGGAATAGTATTTGGATAGAGCCTAAAGGAATCCATGTTGAAGTTTATAGCTATAGACTATAGTTAGTGGACCAGCACACCATTAACAATGCAGTAGGTGTCCTAAATAATAAAATGTCCTTGCACTAGCGATTATATGCTCACTCAAACACAAGATGAAATGACAGGTCTCAAATGGAGATCTTACATGAGGAGAAGCAGTATAAACTCTGTTTGGATTTAAAGCTTCCAGACAACTTTTTAATTCTTCAAGTCTAGTAAACTGTGAGACACTGCTCTCTTGGACCTGGAAGAAAAAATCAAATCCATAAGAAAGGAGAAAGCAGATGGCGAAGGAAACAACAAGATTCTAAGTTTTAATTAATATCCCAAATCAAGATTCATACCAGTTGATTCAAGTCTTCGCATAACTTCTGCTTCATTGCTTCCTCATCTTTCAACGCCTGCAGTGTTGCTTCCGATGCCTAAAACATAAACATTCTCGACGCATTACGAAAGACTGTATTTCCAAATCAGCTTATGGTAATTAAAACTGGTTAAATGCTTTTAACAGAGAAGTGGCTAAGGTTGGGAGTTTAAAGGCTTAGGGGCCTAACCTTCCGTGCTTGTTCCTCCTTCACCTTGGCTTGACGAATCTTCACAGTTGAAACTTCAATTTTCATTTTCAGATGCTCGAGTGCTTAAGTCATCATGTGGCGTTTCAACATGGTGGTAGTGGAGTCAACAAGAAATAAGAAACGAGACACGAAAGAAGCAGGATATGTAAACAGCAGTGACCAACCAGCTTTTTTAAGGTCCAGCAGTTAGTTTCATCTCCATGGATAGATTTGCAAGCTCTCGCTCTACACCAAATAGCATCGACTTGTTTATCTGCATTACAGACAACTAAAGATACTGAAACCTGTAGATTCATGCATGCTGGGCATTTAACGGAGACAAATAAACAACGAGGGTGATGACTCTCTTAAATTTCTCAAATATCTTAACCTTCAGCAAACAATTACAGCAATTCTGGTTCAGAGAAATGGCATCTAAGTCCCAGGATTATCGAGTACCAATCAACAATAAGCGCTAAGTAGAGAAGCATTTAGGAACAGCAGTGGTACTAGACTACTAGGAATCCAAATTCTAGGCAGAAGAATTCGTTATGCGTACAGTATCAGATCCAAACGAAACAGAATTGTGAGGGAAAAGAGAGTAGTGAAGAACTTACTTGTGTTATTGAAGCTGCTCTTCTGCAATTACCTGAAAGGAAAACGCAAATGCCAGATGATGAAAACTTCATTAGGCCAACTGATCGTAATTGGAAATGAAAACCATAACGAGAGAGAGGGACATAACCTTCTCAGTGTAGGCGATGATCGGAGATTCTCTGGCGAGACCGTCGGGCCCAATCTCAGGCTTAGGAGAAGGATTCGAAGCCATTTTCGCCCGCAAGAACGTAGAAATCACGAAGAAAGAAGTCCGAATCTCCGGCAAAAGGAAAATTACGCTCCGGCGAAAGGCGGCCACAACCACAATTGCAACTGTATTTCTTCTCAGATTGTTTATCGTCTCTCTGGTCGGTGTCGGTCCGGCCGCGCTCTGTCTGCTTATTTTCGCCTTCCTCTTTCTTAGCTGGATCCGATTCGCAAATTAATTTTGGCGTTTCCAGACGGAGAATTGGGCTATAAGCCCAGACCAAGTTAAGATAAAAAAAAAAAAAAACTGGATGGTGTGGGCCTCTGGTCTCCGACACGGAGTTGGTCTCTGGCTAGCGCCTTAGTTAGGGGTGGAAATCGGTACGGTATCGGTATCCCAATACCAAATACCGAAATCCCGAATACCGAATTATACCCTGAAATCAATCCCAATCCCAATCCCTAAATAATTTCGGTATCCCAATCCCAATCCCTAAATATTTCGGTATCCCAATCGGTACCTCGGTATCCCAATCGATATTATCAAATACAAAATTAATTATCTTTGCTATTAATAATTAAATATATAAATTAGATTTTATTGTTTAATTTAGGGCAAAGAGACTAAACAAAGAGTCTTGAGTTGCCTAGAGCTAACATCTCAAGTTTTTATAATTAGTAATCTTTAATTTGATGAATTTGAGTTTGAGAGACGACTAATACTAGTGTGAAATAGTGATGTAATGATCTATGTATAATTAAATGACACTATTGGTGGTTGAGGGTCGCATAGTAGTGAATGAGAGAGTCTAGTTGAGAGGATAAAATACACTAGCTTATATTTCGGTATTGATCGGTATTTCGGTATATACCGATCCCAATCCCATAATCCCTAATACCGAATAACAATTGAAACTCAATCCCAATCCCAATCCCACAAAATAATTCGTGTATTCGGTAATACCAAATATAGACAAATTCGGTACGGTATTCGGTATATACCAAATACCGATACCAAACTTCCAGCCCTAGCCTTAGTCCATCTCCATACTCCAATGGTAAATACAAAAATGTCAAGATTTGATGTTAGATTTAACATTCTACCTCCGCCAAAAAGGTTTTTACCTAAAATTTCAAAATCTCCAAATTTGAAATTTTTTCTTAAATTACATTAGTATATGCTTCGTCGCTTTAATTAAATAATTTGTTAATTATTTTTATATAGGTAGATATAATTAATTAAGATGAACATTTCAATGTATTTTTTTAATTTGAACATTGAAAAATGTTATTTTTTAATTTGAACATTGAAAAATGTTATTTTCAAATATGATGTCATCAGTAATAAGAGTTTGAAAATAAAAAGAGAAGCTTTTTAATTGATGGGAAGAAGATGAATCTTCTTGTTCTCAAACTCTTGATCATTGGTTATCAAAAAAAAAATCTTGATTATTAATGACGTCATATTTGAAGAGAAAATTTCTAATGTCCCAATCTGAAAATATAATTTTTCTTAATTAATTATTATTATCTATATAAAATTATGAACAAATTATTCAATTAAAGTGATAAATCTACACTAATTTGTAAAGTGGGGAGGCCAAATTTTTTAATGATTTTTTATCTTATCTAGGCCAAAATTTGCCCCAAATCCTCCACTTTTTGAAACTTTTAGCCTTTTTAGCCATTGTTTGAGGTAGTTTTCTTAGAACTTTTGCCTTTGAACCATTAGAGGTAGTCTTAATAGGTTAAATCATGGATATGAAAAATCGGTGTTATCCTTCTCGTCCATTGTTCACGATAGGGTGTGCAATGGGTTGGTTGTATCTGTCTGTGCCGAACCAATTAGACGCTTGAAACGGACCACATTGAACCAAATACAACATGTTATGGTACTTGTTCCCATGAACTTTATAAATACTAAAGAAAAAAAATCGAATTGACATTTGGACCGGACTAAAGAGAACCAAATGTATTGTTGCACACCCACTAGTTCTCGAGCCTCGTGACCATGGTTTTCATATGGTAAGTATAAACTTTTAGATATTGACATGTTTTATTTAAGGGCAATGTCTATTTTTTATCCAAACCTTTTTCATATTCTTTTATATTATCCAAACCTATCGAAATACTAAGAATTAGCCAAATGTTAACTTTCAGTTAGCAATTTTGTTAGTAATATTGACTTGGCAACATGATACTGACTTGGAAGAGACTCATGAAGGTCAACATTCCAAAATTTCAATATTTTAACTAAGAAAAGAGTTACAAAATTATTAACGATAACGTAAAAATTGCTAATATTTTGATGCATTATGAAAGATTTGGATAATTAATAGAATTTTAATAGGTTTGGATAATATAAAAGAATCTGAAAAAGATTTTGATAAAAAAATAGACATTACCCTTTATTTAAATATTTAGAAAGATAGCTTTCAAGTATGTTATATATACGCCTAACTTCATTTAGTGTTAATGGTTTGTCACTTCCCTACATGTTTTGCTAAAATCGGCATGAACTTGCATAAACCAATTGTACCGCTAGTCGAACCATACTGCTTGCCAAACTATATAATACTATAAAATGGCTTGACAACCTTGCTTGTGACTCGCATCAAGTCCAAGCAAATGCCTGTAATCCGCATAGTCGATACCTTGGGCGGGATCAGTATGCTGACATCACAAATGTGAGGACCATAACTAGCCATCTGCAACCGCGAGTAGGACGATGCCGTCTCCGCAGCCATGAGAAGCAGGGAAACGATTCACGGCTATAGTTCCGAGTATCGTAAATTGTGTGAGAGTGTCACATCTACTATTGGCTATGATGGAGACTGGATTATTTAACTAACGATGGAGCAAAGTCAGTGGGGGTAAACAAATAAATGGCGGGATTTTAAGCAAACCCTAAGGCTGACATTTGACATTTTGATTTTAAGCATACCACTTGTCAAACCGACATAATGATATAAAACATTTGACAACCTTGCTCGTGACTCGCACCAAATCCAAGCAAAATACCAGTAGTCCACATAGCCGATATCTTGGGCGAGATTAGTATGTCGACATCCCCAAAGTGAGGACCGAAACTGGCCATTGGCGACGACGATGTCCCCCCACCATGAGAAGTAGGGAAACAATTCAAGTGCTGCAGTTCTTGGCATCTTGAAGCACGTGAGGGTATCAAATCTACTATTAGTTATGCTAGTGAGTGAAGCATTGAACGAACGATGGAGCAAATTCAGTGGGGTGAAAAGCAAAGACATGGGAGGATTTTAAGCAAACTCTAAGGCTGACATTTAACATTTTGATTTTCCAGAAGGAGATATGATAGAAACAAAACAATTGCTATTTTATCAATTGGACTCAGTTGTTGGTTATTTATTGTTTATGACGCTATTTGGGATATATTGAGGGTATTATTTATAAGGTAGAAGTTTAAGTAGTTATATGAGATTGTCCATTCATATACTCATATATAAACTGTAAGTGGGCATTATTTCCACTAAGCAGAATCAAAAGAATAAAATACCTAAACTTAATCTTCTCTCTCTTCCCTCTCTATTCCTTGTTGTTCTTCTTCTTCCACCGAGTGGCTTCCCCTCTTCTTCCTTCTTCCTCGCTCCTTTTCCCATTTCCCATATTCCCTACTCTTTCTAGTTTCTACCAAGTTCCTTAAATACTCGACTGGATAGAAACTGTGTTTCTATTATTTGTGTTGCAACCATCCCTCAAAATCGAGGGACCCATCGTGAAATGCTTTTCGAGTTACCATTGACCTTAATTGTAGTAGATCGTACACTTTTCTTTCGGCCTCAAGTCCTTAGGGTAAAAACCAGGACATGGTATGTGAATCAAAATATTCTTTGGCTGTGCTTTGTGTTTGTGGATGTCTCTGCCTCCTTCCTAGATTCTGTGGGAATGTTACTGCCCTTTGCTTTTTAGTTGTCGTTTGTGTTATCGTGGGTCTCTCATGATTAACAAGAAGGGAAGAAGCATGGTATTTTGCTGAGAGTTTTCTCATGAGAAATGGTAATAACCAAATCGAAAATTGCAGTGGAAAAGGTCACAGAGAAGGTTACACGAGAGAAGTTCCCGACAGAGATGGTGGCGCAGGAAACGATCGCGGTAGAGAAGAGGCCGACCCCCGCCGATTCAACAATGGCAGTTCCGACGTTGAGCACGACAATGAGGAGAGCGGGCGGAAAGGACAGAGGAGGTGTTGGGCAACACAAATCTACAGGAAATCGAGGGTATTCTAATTCGTGTGGCTGATATGCAGTTTGGCTTCGACTGGGGATTGCAGAAGGTTGACTCTTACGTCCTGATCGTGGGCACAGTGATAGGAGGACGCAAAGAGGAATTTCAAGCCTTTAAACAGATGATGATGATGATGATGGAGTGATGTAGAAGATGAAGATTTCATGGGTTGAACCGCGGGGCGTGGTCGCTGAGGCATCAGGGGCCTTAGATGCGGTGGTGGATGTTGACACTAGCAAGACGGTGGTTGAGGTGACACCGGAGGGCGGCTCGTGTCGCGCTTTTGGGGGCCAACCCTCGGATATGGAGGTGAGAGGCGTGCAAGCCAAGTCGCGATTGGGCCTCACAAAAGAGTCGCGCTACTACATACCCCGACCACCCAAGAAATTGCAACGGCCCGTGGAAAGGCAAAGATGGCGGGCTACCACAACGTAATTCCAAGTTTGACATATGGGCTTCTGGAGCATTCATCCCAAGAAGGATAAAGTGGGCTCACGGTGGGCCAACAAGGATGGGGCTGGTTGGGCCAAGACAAGACAACGAGGATGACGAGATAAGCTTGGTTGATCATTCTAGAGTTTGGGTCGATCCTCCCCATCGGTAATCAAGCCTAGGTCGAAACAGGGAGTTGACCCTTGAAGATGAAGATGGACCAAATCGGACCGGGCAAATTGAAGTTGGGTGGACCGAGATCAAACCGGACCGGTCCACCCCGAACCTGAGGGCCACAGGCAGCAGGATGTTATCGAGAGAAAAAGGGACTAGGGCAAACCGATGCATTCTACCCACCTCTAATGACTCCTCAGGCTAAAAAGAGGCAGTTGCGTAGGTTTCAGGATGATAACCCCCAAGGTGGGTGGTTTTGATAAGAGAAGCACAGCTTGGATTCAATCCAATGAGTGAATCGAACTTCGGTAAGAAAGAACACAAAAACAAAGTTTTGTGCTCGTG